CCCAGAACGGGCCCAAGAGAGGGAACCCGAACCGAAGATCCGGCCTTGGAGGCTGCTGAAGCCAGAATTCCCCCTGGGTCCTGAAACAAATGTCGACGGCAGGCGTTTCGCTATTCTCGGCCTTCGGGAGGGAAGCGGTCGAAACCTCTGGGTGTCGACACAAAACGTGACGTCGGGGGTCTGGGAAGAAGGCTTATCAGCATCGGCGGCGAGCGACGGGGAGAAATGAGAAGACGGCGGACTTGCTGAAAAGGCGGCGGGGCTGCTCAGAAGGGCTCCGGCCTTCCTGGAGGTAGCATATGTTTTCGGGGAAGGCTTAAACAATGTTTCGGAAGGCCGGGGGACCTCCGAGCTCTCTGAAAAGGCCCGCCCCTGCTCGTTCCCCCCCCGTCGCTCGCCGCCGATCGAGGCCCGGCGGGTTTCCAGGAAGCCCCCGTTGGGCGTGGCTTAATGGGGGGGTCACAACTGGGGGGGTCAGAAAAGGCCCCCATTCGTGGCCCTTTCGGGCCCCTCCAGAGCCCCAAGGGGCTCGTTTGGGTACCGTTTGGGTACCTTTTCGGACCGCGCTCGCCACCCCCCCAGTTATGACCCCCCATTACGCGGCGCCCTAGGCCCCCCCCCTGCAGGGGCCGCCGGGCCCGCGCCGGCGCCTCCAGGCAGCACTGCACGCTGGGCGTGCCCCCTCTGCCGGAGGAATGCCCAAAGACAGTGCAAAAAAAACGCGTCCGGGGAGGAATCTGCAGAGGTAGTTCAAAGATCGTCTGGGGGCACATGACCATGTTTGATCACTTTTGGGGGCATGATTACGCGGCGCCCAACCCCGTGTTTGCTGAGGAGCCCCATAACCGCCTCCTCGGGGAAGCCGACCCGCCCCTTACGCCCCACGGACCCCGAAGGCGCCGCCGCCTCCCTTGGGGGGCAGCGTCAGGGGGGGGATGGGGATAGGACCAGGGGGGCACAGTGAGGAGGAGGAGGAGGAGGAGGAGGAGGAGGAGGAGGAGGAGGAGGAGGAGGAGGAGGGGGCACAGTGGACCGAGGTCTAAGATCGAGGTCGGTTTAGGGTTCGTTCCGGGGGTTGCCCAGATCGGGTCGCGCCCCCTCCCCCCTGGTCAGATTCCACCGCCTGGGGCCACACTCAGTGTACAACACACATGCCCCAGGGAGGGGATTTCGTATACCAGACCCACGACCAAGACCCTCGTCCACCCTCCAGTGCTTTTGGGTACAGTATATAAATTTCTGGGGCCTGGGAGGGGGGATCGAGGCTCGAGGATGGCTTCGTATGCTTGTGGTCGTCTTTGGGAGTCCTGTGACGGGCTTGTTTTCCGCCACCACCACCAGAAGTAGGAGGGGGAGGGGGTCCTCCTCCTCCTCCTCCTCCTCCTCCTCCTCCTCTTCCTCCTCCTCCTCCTCCTCCTCTTCCTCTTCCTCCTCCTCCTCTCCGTCCTCCCCCTCATCCTCCACCTCCTTCCCCCTCCAACCTCTGGTGGTGGTGGAAAACAGGCCCATCATCGTTCGGGCCTTTGGGGGGGTGCCCAGGGGGGGGTCCGCCTATACTGGAGGGCTTGGCGGGCCCCTTCCCTGCAGGGGCAGCCAGGCTCCGGGGAGGGAGGGGGGGATCGAGGGAGGATCGAAGATCGAGGAGAGGATCCCGGATCGAGGATCGAGGGAGGATCGAGGATCGATGGAATTTTGTGGGAGCTCTGTGGTCGTCTCTGGGACCCATCGGGGGTTCCAGGGGGTCGGGGGGGGGGGGTGCTCGAATTTGGGAACTCGGGACCAAGGCCCAGTCTGGAGGATTGCCGACTAAAGCCTTCGGCCGAAGAGGCCGAGAGAAACGACTTTTAAGAGCTCACGCCAGGCGCGTCATGGGAGGGGAGAGGAAGGAAGAGGAGCTCCATTTCAGAGGGGGTAGTTTCATTGTCGGATTCCGAGAGGTTGGCGTCATCACCGGTATCGGCAGTCGCTTCCACAAAGAGAAGATGGTCCTGATCGTGGCGATGCTTGTATTGTTCTGGCTTCTCAGGCGGCCGAGAGATTACCACCAGCACCAAACTCCAGGACCATCTTCCCTCCGTAGAGGCAGCTCCCTGAATCCGATCCGCTTTCGGCTCCGTGCCGATGCAGCCCGATCCGACGCGCATTCCGAGTCGTTCTGATTCCCCGATCCGATTGTGATTGATCCCGCCCTCGTCGTCCTGGGCTTGGTAGGGGTCAGGGCACGTCTTCGGGGCGGGATATGCTCAGGGGCGAACGCATCGGAAGGCTCTGGGCTTCTCAGGAGGCTTCTCAGAAGGCCCCTGCCGTCTCAGACGGCAGGGGCCGCGCCCTCATAGAAGGTCGTCTCCCTCACGCCACCCACTCCCACCCACTCCCTCGGCTTATGGTGTTCCAACCTGCTTTAGCATTGATCGCCATAAAGAATTTTGAGCACCGAGAACGTACCGAAACTGAAAGGTTTTCACGCGGCGGGCCCTGGGAGGCGATGCTCGCTTGACAATGTTCCGATACCTTTCTGGGTGCTCGAAATTTGTCCTGGGATGTGGTCCTTAAGCACGATAGGGGGCAACCTGATCCTCGGCTTGTTTTTGCGCGTGATTTCAGGACCCTGAGGGTCTCGACCAGTTCCCCGTGGCCCGCTTTTCCTCCTGAGCCGATTCTCGACGGTCCCCGAGCCAGGCGGACGCCACAAGAGTGCAATACACGCGGCGGGGGGTGGGCATCGACATGGCCCCATGGACTGCCACTGCGGGCCCAAACAGTGCACGGAAGGTACGTTCCTTCACTCGCCGGCGAGCGAGGGGGGGAAGTGAGAAGGATAATGCCTTCTCAGAAGGCTCGGAAGTCCCCCGGCCTTCGGAGAAGTTTCCTAAGCCTTCCCCGAAGACAGAACTTTGTTCAGAAGGCGGGAGGGCTTCTGAGAAGTCCCGCCGCCTTCTGTGAAGGCCTTCTCCTTCTCACTTCCCCCGCTCGCTCGCCGCCGATTCACCCCACGTTCACAGCCCAACCTTTCCGAACTCCCGAGATGCCGAACACTGAGGAGAGCAGGGCGGGTCGATGTTTGTTGCCGCGTCAAGGTACGTCCTTTCCCCCCACGTTCACAGCCCAATGTTTTACGAACTCCCGAGATGCCGAACACTGAGGAGAGCAGGGCGCGACGATGCGGTGCACGGCAGGTGCGTTCCTTCACCCCACGTGCACAGCCCCGTGTTCTACGAGCCCCCAGGGCGCGACGATGCGGTGCACGGAAGGTGCGTTCCTTCACCCCACGTGCACAGCCCCGTGTTCTACGAGCCCCCGAGAGATGCCGAACATTGAGGAGAGCAGGGCGCGACGATGCTGTGCACGGCAGGTGCGTTCCTTCACCCCACGTTCACAGCCCCGTGTTCACGAACCCCCGAGAGACGGTAGAGGGAAACACTTACTGAACATTCCCCTTCCCCCCAAACCTCAATGTTGGCACGCGCGGGGGAGACTGCGGTCGAAGTGCATCTCATCAGACCCACCGCCAACTTTGAACATTGGGGGGAGGGGGAGCCGTTGCCAGATGAATGTGACATCATGAGTGTCCGCTAATTTGTTCCAAGGCCTGGATGCCGAAAACTGAGGAGAGCAGGGCGCGACGAGGCGTGCTGCCGCGCCGGGATCTACGGGCGCCCCCCTTGTTCGCGCCGCCGAGCCGAGCCTTCTTCTTCTTCTTCTTCCCAGCCTGGAGCATGTCCCTATCCCTATGCTGGGCATCTCCTCATCAGGATGCTAATATTAGGGACTCCCTTGCTTTTTGTCGTGTCAATCTTAAGGATAGGGATAAGTTTGAAGCTGGTAATCTTCTTCTTCTTCCATGCTCCTCCTTGGAGTCAGGGGCACACTAGGGTTACGTCGGGCGTGTCCCCCTACAGGGGGATTGTCGACGAAAAATAAAACATACCCCAGAAATGCCCCCCAAATGTCAAAACAGATTCAAAACATAGTTCCCAGACTGTTTCTGGACCATTGTTTGACCATTTTGGGTGTATCTTTTTATTTTCCGTCGAAAATCCCCTTGTCGAGGGACCTGCCCGACATAACATTAGGGCAGATCCGGGGTCAGCCTAAACGGTGTTTTGGCGGCCTAAACCGTGTTCGTTCCGACTTCGTTTTGCGACACAGGCGGATTGGAGACAACACGAGGGAACACGATGACAACACGAAAGCTAACAACAGTGTTTAGGTCGATCCCTGGGGCAGATGCAGTCGGATTTGATTGGCAGGGTGGCCCTTCAAAATCAAGGGTAGCCTTCTTGTGGCCTGTGCGTGTTCGCGACCCGTGCCTTTTGTGGCTGGGACTGTGGCCTCTGGAGGGCTCTTGTGTCCTCTCGCGCGTACTCTCCAATCAAACTCGACTGTAGGCTTCCTCATCGTCCTCATCCTCCTCCACTTTCTCCTCCTCCTCCTCCTCCTCCTCCTCCTCCTCCTCCTCAGGGGGGGTGGAAGAATCGTCCCCGAAACGCCCGTTCATCGCCGATGGAGGGGCGGGATTGCCCCAGCCTGCCCAGGAACGTGCGGGTTTGCTTTCGAGGCTTATCGGCGATGTGTCGCCGATTCCACCTCGATGTTGCTCCCCCCTGAGCCTGTCCCCCTGTTGATTTCGGGCGATACCTTGCGCCCACGGCGGCCGTTGGACGATCTGGGGACCCCCAGAGCGCTCTCGTCCAGGCGTACCACTGGAAGGCATCCCGAGGTTGGAAAGCTGCCGAGAACCGACGAAAACGCGCGACAACCTCGAACATCGAGCCAGGGCTGGACCTAAACGCTGTGTTGCTGGACTTCGGCGGTATTTTGTTGTTCGTTTTAGGAGGGAGGTACAGGAAATCAGGTAGAGCAAAACGAACAACAACACGACATCACCACGACCAACGTCGTTTGGATCCAGCCGTCCAGCCCTGCATCGAGCCCGAAAACCTCGACCCTCTTCGCTTCCCGAACGTTGCCCCTCAGAGATGGGGGGTGTTCGCTGCCAGGTGTGCGCCGAGCTCGTGGAGGATCGGCAGCGCCGCTTCGTGGAGCTCCAGGCTTGCAGGGCTTTGTGGGGCCTATGCCAAGTACCATTTTCACTTTTATGCCGCAAGCGTCTATGATTAGACACGTTGGATGTCGTTACATTTGCAATCACACTTCTGGTGGATGCGTCTATAGACAACGCGGACGTCGCGTTCGGCGCAGTACAAGGTCGGAGACAGGGCCGATCAGTCTATGGTATGGCCCTGTGCTGGAGCAGGTCCCACATGGTACAGTCGGACCGAGGCATGAGATCGAGGTCGGCTCGGGGAGGGTACCCTGGTGTTCGTCGTGCTTGTTTGGGTACTCTCGTGCATCCTGCGGGAGGGTATACCCTCGAATGCTCTGCAGTTTGGCCGGCGGAGGGCCTCGTGCTCTTAAAGGGTATTCTTTTGTTCAGCCACGCGCAGGGCAGAGGGGGGTAGAGGGAGGGGGGAAGGCGTCTTAGAAGCACCCCTGCTTCTCAGAAGGCTCGGGCCTTGTCTGTCGATGCAGGGCCGCCGCCTTTCAGGTTTCGGCTTGCTTCTCAGAAGCCTTCCCCCCTCCCCCCACCCATCTCTGCGCGTCGCCAATCCGAGTGCTCGGTGCTCTCCCACGCCAGGCCTGTCCCCAGACATGCGACGTCCTGATTTTGTCACACGGCCCCTGAAAGTCCCAACCCCCTCCCCGAGACCGGCTTCTCGCCCCGAGCCGTGTCCTGGACGGCCCCGAGGCCCGACGAGGACCCCCTCGGGGCCGAGAATAGCGCAAAAAAATCCCGGCCTGATGTTTGTTCTGCGACGCGAGCATGCTCGGGACTCTGGCCTCGAGCCGAGTGCTCTCCCACGCCTCAGGCCCGGTCCCTCCCTCCTCTCTGTTCCAAGGGGCCTCCGGCTGCGGCCCCGGCCCTCTCCGCGGGGGCCGGCGGGGCCACTGTGCCGAGTCGCCGACTGCGGCTCGGCCGCGCCGATCTCCCGGGGCACCCCAACGGTCGAAGCAGAAAGAAAGGTTCTGATTTGCATCGGTGAACCGATCCCCATCACCACTGGGCCATGGTATGTCAGCCCCACCATCCCGCCCCCCCCAGTTGGGGATATGCCGGGCAACACCCGACGGAAACATCATGCATCCCCATGTTGGCGGATAAGTCGGCCAGTGGGATCAAGGCCACGCCAGTGGGGATAGGTAACGGCTCAACGATGCTCAATAAGCATAAACTTTTGGCGCGCCGCGCGGATTTCTTGGATCCGGGCTTGGCCCCCCTGGGCGGCGCCTCCGGCATCGCCCATGGATGGCGCGCTCCGCGCGTCAGGGAGGGGGGCCCAGCGCGGATCCAAGAAATCTGCGGGGAGCGCCAAGAGTTCATGCTTACGCCCTTACTTCTTCTTCTTCTAAACGGTGTGGTGACCCTTTCGCGTGGTGAGTCAGTGGGCATCCCGTGGGGACTCTCCTGCCTCGGGATGTGCGGTCCAGCAGCCGCGCCTCGCCGAGAGCGTTATCTGGGGGTGCACGGAGATCGTCCCGAGCGGCCGCCAGAGACCCGAGTGATGGCACGGAGGCTGGTTCGGTGATCGTCCACGCGCAGAGGGGGGGGCGGAGGAGGAGGAGGAGGAGGAGGAGGAGGAGGAGGAGGAGGAGGAGGAGGAGGAGGGGAAAAGGACGAGGAGGAGGAGGAGGGAGGAGGAGGAGGAGGAGGAGGAGGAGGAGGGGGTGGGAGGGGGGAAGGCCTCTTAGAAGCACCCTGCTTCTTAGACGGCCTTGGCCTCTTTGCGCGCCGCCAATGTGAGTCGATGGGGAGTCGGGGTCGCCGCACGGGTTTGGGTCATTCTCCGAGGACGTCTCGGGCGACGGGGCCCTCCGAGGCCCCACACCTGGCGGTGACGGACCGCGCGAGGAGGTCGTTGGAGATTCCGAGGTTACCTCGCGGACCGTTACCACGCGGACCGTGGGGCCTCGGAGATCTGGGCGTTGCAATTCCCGCCCATTCTCGGGCCCTGGGGCCATCACAGATCGATCCGGCTCGAAGGATGCATCAGATAGATTGGGTCTGAGTCTTAGAGGAGAAGGAGGAGGGGGGGGAGGGGGAAGAAGAAGAGGAGGAGGAGGAAGCGCAGGAGGAGGAGGAGGAAGAGGAGGAGGAGGAGGAGGAGGAGGAGGAGGAGGAGGAGGGGGAGGGGGGAGGGGGGAGAAGAGGAGGGGGAGGAGGAGGAGGAGAAGGAGGAGGGTCCGTTTCCAAAGTCGGATTCCAATTCCGCTGCGATGTTTCAATTTCTCACGACGTCGGATTCCAAGGTCCGCTTCCCATGCGTCGGACGATCCGATGCGGCCCGACGGGTACATGCCGCCATTGTGCATCGTGGCGCAGCTGGTCCGATCCGGTGCCGACTTCGTGCCGATGCAGCCACCAAATCCGACGCACACTCCGACTCGAATCGAGGGCCCGACTCGATGCCGACTGATCCTCGGGCACGGAGGGGGAGCGATGGAATTGTCGCGACGACGCGCTCAGTATGGCTTTAGACATCGAAGACGCCGAATGCCAGCTGCTGGTTATCAAGCGATGCCCAACTCGATGGCTGGCGAAGAGGCCCCACGGGCAGCGAAATAATGTCTTGAATGACGCGCGCCCGGTGATAATGCGCGCGGCCCCGTCTGGGTTTTCGGAGCCCCTGGATTAGGATGCAACTCCGCGGCTGAGAACTTGCCGAATCCAGAAGAATCCCATGCAATCCGGGCTAATCCAGATTAATCCTGCTGAGTCCTGCTTAATCCTGGGCTTCAGCCGGCCTGATTGGCTCAGTGGCTTCTTCATCGGGCTCGATCGCCCTTCATCGTCCTCACCAAGACTTCAGTTACCTCCTAGACAGGGTCAACGATAGGGCGGCAGGCTCAGGGACGGACGCATCGCTCCCCCATCGCCCGTTCATCGCCCATAGGTGCCCGATAGCACACCCCACCTAGGAACGTGGAGACTCGCTATCGGGGGCCTATCCCATCGACGATGTATTGCCGATTCCAGCTGGACGGTTCCCCCCCCCTCATTCCTGAGCTGTCCCCTTCTCTAATCCTGACCTTCCAGAGTTCTCAAAAAGTAGCCCTCCAGACCTATAGACCTGTCTGGACTGGCTGAAACCTCGACGGGAATTTAGATGTCGAGGGCTTGGTGTTTTTAGCCCTCCTGAAATGTCAGGGATGTCCCTGCCCCTCACCTCACCTGGATCGGGGAAACGTAAGGCCCGAGTACGGATTTGCCGTCGCTTTTGGACGAACGCGTCCTGGATTTTGACGGTCCAGTCTTCATGGAATGTTTGCAGCGGGAGTTCTCATCACATTTCCGATTGGGTCCCGTCATTGTCATAAGGGCCCCACCCCGTCAGTCCAACCCGAGTCCCCCCTATGTCTTACACTCATCCCTCACTCCTTGGTCCTCTTCCCTTTCGCCTTCCTCCCGGCTCCATCCTCCTCCCCCCCGCCCCCCTCCCTCCTCCATCACTCCCTCCCCCGCGGGAATCTTCGCTCCTCTCTCCTCCTCCGTCCTCCCTCCTCCCTCCTCGTCTCCCCTCCCTTCTCCTCCTGACCCGCCTCCTCCTCCTCCTCGTCCTCCTCCTCCTCCTCATCCTTCTCCTCCTCCTCCTCCTCCTCCTTCCCTCCCTCCTCCCTCCCCCTCCCCCGAACTCGAGTCCTGCGTCTCCCAGGCTGGAGAGGCCCGCCCATGGTAAGATCCGCCTCCCCTGCGCCACCGCCGGGCCGCTCTCGAGAGGAGGAGGAGGAGGAGGAGGAGGAGGAGGAGGAGGTGGAGGAGAAGGCTCCCCCGAGCTCGAGCCCTATACGCCTCCCCGACTGGCGCCCCGCCTTTGGCGCTTCGCCCCCGCGCCGCCGCCGCCGGGCCGCTCTCGAGAGCCGCCCCCGCCGCCGCCGCCAGGCGCGGAACGCGGCGCGGAAGGACGACGTGGCGCGTCTGCAGGAGGCGCGCGCGGGTGCTGGCCGCGCGCCGGCCGCGCCCATGAGATCCTGGCGTCGCGCAGGGGCAACGGCAGAGGTCAGGAGGGAAAAAGGCACGCAGACACAATTCATCGTCGATTCTCTAGAAAATATCGGGAAATATGGGAAGTGGGGGGGGAGACGAAAACCCCGAAAATGTAGGAAATATGAGGAATCATGGGAGTTGTGTCTATTTGTGTGTGTGTCCCTGGACCCCCTCAAGAGGGGGATAGGCATCGGGGGGGATGCCTCGACCCCCAATCGCCCACTGATCGCCGACAGGGGTCTGATAGCCCCAACCCGCCCAGGAAGGTGTGGACTCACTATCGGGGGCATGTCGCCGATCTATCGGCGACGTGTCGCTGATTCCAGGTCGATGTGTCCCCCCCCCCTGTGCCAGTCCCCCCCCATCGTTGCCCCCTTTCCTGGCGTCGCATTTGTTTCACAGCGGGCGTTTTCGCCCCGTTTCGGGCCCCGGTGAGCGTTTTTTGATGCTTGCTTTCCTCCCGCCCTAGGGTAACGCTCGTTACGTCGATGCTCGTTTCTGGGATCTTCCCGGGGCACATGTCTAACGGATCTGTTCGACTCGAGTTCCACTCCGGTTCGATTCAAGTTCGTCGCAGGTTCGTCTCTGAGTCGCTTTAGGTTAGACTCAAGTTCGACTCTAGTCGACGGATGTTCGACGCAGCTTCGACGCACGAGTGGAGCGAGTGGCTCCAGGAAGGTCCCCAGAATGGACATCTAACGCTACCCCGGCCATCCCCCCCGGATACAACTAACGATCGTATCATGGGGGGGGCCTGAACCGCATGCGGTATTGATCCCAACCGATTGGCATGCGGTATTAATCCAAATCGGCTGGGACTAATCCAAACCGATTGGTACATGTTCCAGCCGACTCGAAAAGACAAACAGATACTAAGTCCAACTGGCCAAATGACGTCACTGTGTGATTCTAAGTGTGAGGTGATGGTAGGAGATTACATAACCAAGTATGATGCTTATGTCTGCACGTATTCCCCAGAAGCTAACAGGATTGCTGGGTCTGGAATGTGTACCAGATATGTCCAGGGATGCTATTGTAAGGATTAAAGTGTTTGAGAGTTTAAGGGCTTCAGGGCGTAAGGGCTTAAAGGCTCAACAAGTGAATGGCTTCAGGGCTAAAGCGTGTCTAATGGGTTACGGGTGTTAGGGTTTCAGGCCTTAAGTGTTTATGTAGAGCATGCAATGTTTTTGAGGCATTATGGCGTAAGGACTCAAGGGGGTAAGAACTGAAAGGGGTCAGGTGCTTAAGGGTTTGAGGCCTTAGAGGGCCCAAAAGTTGTAGGGTTTCCGGGTTTTAAGCGTTTCAGGATGTAAGGGTTTCAATCGTTCAGGTGTTTGAGGTTTAAGGTTTTAAAAGATATAAGGGTTAAGGGCTTAATGCATTGAGAGCTTACGGGTTGAGGGCTCACGGATTCATCATCATCACCATCATCATCACCATCATCATCACTATCATCATCATCATCATCATCATCATCATCATCATCATCATCATCATCATCATTTTCATCTTCATCATAGTCATCATCAGCATCATCTTCATCATCATCACCGTCCCTATCGCCATCGCCATCGTCATCATCACACCCATCACCACCATAACCATCATCATCATCATCATCAACATCATCAACACCATGATCATCACCATCATCATCATCATCATCATCATCATCATCATCATCATCATCATCATCAGCATTGTCATCATCATCAGCATCATCATCATCCCCATCACCATCACCATCAGCAGCATCGTCACCATCACCATCATGACCATCACCATGATCATAATCATGCTCTTCATCATTGCCATTATCATCATCATCAACCTCGTAAAGGATGGTCGGAATTGCCCTTCGAGCGGTTGGAATTAGTTCCAACGGGGCTGGAATGTATACGAAGGTGTTCGGTTTTACTTCTAGTTGGTCGTAGTTCGTCCCATTTCCGGCCTGGACGCCCCCCTACATGCTATGTTGCACATAGTTAAGCTATTGATGCGCCGGTGGCGATGACGCACCCTGGCGGGTGCACACTCGCCGCGGCCGCCGTTACCGTTGCCCTCCCGCCCGACCCCCCCCCCCGGGTAACGACTGTCACCCGGAAAAGAAAGAAAAGGTCTTGGATTTTTACAGCTCGATCCGGCTCGAGAAATGACGCAGAAAGATTGGCTCCCCGGGCTCCAGTCGTGATGTTTTGCGATGTTGCAGTTTGTTCGGAACGTCGGGTCTCAGGGCGACAGCAGCAGCCGGGTCTAGGCCTCCTGGGCGGGGTCCAAGTAGCGAGCGAAGCATCGCGCCGCATCGCCGATGCATCGGCGATGCGGCTCGATGTGGAGCCCGATTTTCTCGACGCCGACGTCGCCGATGCATCGCCGACGTCGCCGATGCATCGTCGATGCGGCGCGATCCTCCGACTCCATCTGCTCGGACCCCAGTCAGAAGGTCTTGATGCTTGCAGCGAGGACGGCAGGGGCAACGTTCTGGTTCAAGGTTCGGTGTTTTCCGGCGTTTTCGTCAAGTCGGGCGTGTCCTTCTACAGGGGGAATATTCAAAAACAGTCAAAACATAGTACGGGGACCATTTTTTGAGAATCTGTGATCCTGTTTGAGTACGCGCCGGTCGTTGAAAGTAGGTATTTTTTGGATTCCCAAATCCCAATCCACTTCAAGCGCCTTCCTACTTCAAGAATCGACGCGCTTTTGCCGTGCTTTGTTATTCTCTGGGGGGGCCTGAACCCAATCCGACTTGATCCGCCTTCCTACCTCATGTTCTGACCTACCTCTTCCGGCCGACGTGTATTGCTGGGGTATTCGCTATGTTCGTCCGCCTGTAGGGGGGGGCATGCCCGACCTGATCGCAGCCCCGTGGTGCATCTCGTAGGGGCCCCCCCCTCGGGCCCCCTGGGCCGCCCCCCCCTGCCGTGGCCGCCAGGGGGGGAGGCGCGGAGGGGGGGCCGAGGATCTGGGCCGCAGGCGCGCCAGCGGCGATGCGCAGGCAGCGGCGATGTGCAGGTCTCGGTGTCGTGGGAACGCGCGGCCGTGCGAACGAGCGGACGAAGCCGCGCCCCGACGGCGCATGGGCACCCAGATGGAAAAAGTGCTGATCGCATGCGTGCCGGCATGCAGAGAAACAGCGAAAAGTTGCACGGTGCCTCGGGGGACCGTCGTTGTAGCCTGTGTTTCCAACGAGGTGCGATGGGGGAATTGCGCCTTTTGACAGAAAGGGATGGGAGGAGGCGAACGAGGGGGGGGAGGCGAACGAGGGAACGCGCGGCTCGTGCTTTCCTACAGTTCGCTGTGTCGTTGTCGTTCGGTGCATCCTCTTTCTTCCTTCCTCCTCCTTCCTCCTGTACTTGTGTGCAGTTGTACATTCCGTTGTAGCCTGTGTCGCCCATTCTGCCCACGCGTCCGCTAGGGAGTCACGGCTTCAGTCAGTCCGTCTTTTTCGTTCGATACATCCGCAGATCGGAGAAATGCGGGAGAGAGAGTGTGGTTTGTGACGTCCTGCAGTTCGGTTTCCAGCATCACCGTGAAGCAGATCGCCTCTCGCGTGGCCTTGAATCGGTCATGGGCGAGGGCCCCTTGCGGGCAGCCTGGGGGCAGAGGCCCTGGGGGCCTGGACTTCGGATGCGCCTGTTTGGCTTGTCTCGGGGAGACGTAAGACTCGAGTAAGCCGGATCTCGGGCTTGCCGTCGTTTTTGGACGAGCGCGTCCTGGGTTCTGATGGTCCAGCTTTCGCGGGATGTCTGCAGCGGGAGCCCGCGTCAGCTTTCAGATTGGGCCTCGTCCTTTTCAGTGATGGCCCCCGTCAGGCCAACCCGAGTCCCCCGTACCCGAGTCTTACGTCTCCCCGATTGTTGTCCCCCAGCATCGCTTCTCTGCGATGGTGGTCGTGCTTGGTTACGGGTCACGCCCATGGGCGGCACTGCAGCGCTCGGCTCGGGCAAAACCCGGGAGTGTGATTCCTCGTTTCGGGTTCCGCTCATCTGTCGCGGATCCGGGGGGGCGTGGATTAGCGACGGGCCCCGCTTCCATGGGAAGTCGCGGACGTCCGCCACCGAACGAGGCGGCACCGGCCGCATCTTGGGGAGGGCACCTGCCCCGATTCGTGGACTTGGCGATCGCGCGCCAAGCACACGGATCGCTAATCCACGTCTGTGCGCCCCCGCATCTGAGGACATTTGCATCTGCCCTGAGCACGCCGGGCTCTGGCATACGCGTGCAAGAACTGCACGCTCTGGACGTGCTCCGCTCCGTCCCCTCCTTCGACTGTCGTGCCCCATTCGGCCGCGTTACATCCCAGGGCAGCCTTCGGACGCGGCGAGGATCCTCGCCGTTGCGACCGACAAAAACAGATTCTTCCCCTCTCATCCCTCTCCTCGGCCTGCTCCTGGGTAAGCGCCTCCCTTAGCTCACTGACCTCTTCGAACTGCTTGTTCTTATGGTGCCTGGCAAGGCCTTCGGATCGAGGCCTAAGGGTCGAAACGGAGATCGCTGGTCTGAGGCTTCCACTGGGGCTTCTCGTCAACATGGCTGGATCCCCCTCGACGTTTTCACAGGTGTGGTGGGGCAGTTTTGGGAGAGGGAGAAGGGGAGGAGGAGGAGAAGGAGGAGGAGGAGGAGGAGGAGGAGGAGGAGGAGGAGGAGGAGGAGGAGAAGCAGTGGGAGGTACGTGGCTCGGGCTTCTCGGGGTGAGGGGGCTTCTCGGGCGGCTCTGTGCGCACCTCGCGCCACCGCCCAGTTGTCTGCTTCGGGGTGAGGCCGAGGACGAGGAGGAGGGGGAAGAAGAGGACGGGAGGGAGCCGAGGCCGAGAAGGAGGAGGAGGAAGAGGAGGAGGAGGAGAAGGAGGAGGAGAAGGAGGAGAAGGGGGAGGGGAGGGGAAAGGTGTGTTAAGAGGAGGAGGAGGAGCAGGAGCAGGGGGAGGAGGTGGAGAGGAGGA